TGTCTCTCTGTTCTTATAAAGGAGATGCTTACACACTCAGATGGGTGATACAATTGCTCACATGCTTTACTTGAGTAACTCTCAGAAGAGTTAGTCTCTTCTAGATGAAACAGATTTCTGCCCATAGCAAACCAGGCTCATTGTGCAGAAAGCAGAAACGATGCACCTACACACAGTTCTCCAGAGACACCATGATGGCAAATCCAGATTGAAATGTTCCATTTTCAGCAAGAAGTTATCAATTTCTAGTCAAAACTTGTTGGGATTTGGGTACTGAAGAAAAGCCAATATTTTCCACAGAAAACAGACAATTTTCAGCCGTGCAAAATCACTATGTCAGAATTCCAGTTTGTCATTTTTAAATAAGAACATATACCTACTCAACAGTTTTAGGTAGGGATTTAATTTATAACCTGGAAGCTCAGGAGAACAGAGATATACCCCTATACCAGGTGCTAGTTCCTACCAGCCTGTTGCACATCCTCAGATCTTTTCACAACCCTAAAATGAACTATACTTGGGGCAACTCTAAGATAGCTATTAAACAAATTAGTTGCATTTTAAATGAAGCAATATAGAAGCTATAATGAACTGGATGCTGCCACACTACTTTTCAAATATCATATTGAATTTTCATCCTCAAACTCCCATTTCTCACTTTAAGTCAAACCATCAACAGGGCCTGTCAAGAGTAGCAGTATGGAGCACATTTTATACTCAGCTTTCAAGAGTTTCTTGTTAATAGGAGGTTAATTTGTCCGTTCAATTTCATTGTATCTACAACCCTGGAGAATAAAGCAAAAACAATTTTAAAAAAAGAAAATGAACAGGCTGTCCCCACCTCACCTGTTGCTTCCTGCAATGCAGACTCAGCAAAGTTTCATGGGTCTTTGGGCGTGTGTGATCCCAGGCATTTTCCTCATACTTCTGACTGATCCAGTTAAAACAGGCTCATGCAATAACTGAATTAAGTGGTTGTCAACTTTAAAAAAGGTGACTACATCACTATTTAACAGCACATTTTTATCACCTTGGTTAAAAACAGGCAGCCCTCCTCTGGGTGGGGAGGTTACTTGATCCTCCAGGAACTGTTCTGGTATTTTTTTTGCTAGCTAATAGCATTTAACATTTCACCAGGCCACATTAGACTCAAGGTACATGCAGTTAAGAAAAGAACCATATCTGGCACTGTTTAATGTCACTCACATGAAATCTGAGCAGCACTGCCAGCATTCCTGAACTTTAAAAGTACTTTACCCTTCCTCCATTTTTGGCAAATAAATACATTTGAATACACTTTTGGCAAGTACACACATTTCAATGCATTGGTATAATGTCATGCAGGTCAAAGGATTAACTGTGTCTTGTCATTTAGATAATTAAAAAAAAAAAATCATGACCATTTTAGTCCTGAAGCTGTCAGGCCTCCTTTCCTCTCCTGGCTGACAATGCTGAGGATTTACAGCATATCCAGAGTGGGAGGGTCTGGAAAACTTAATGAAAACTCCCTCACAAAAAGGCCTGGGCACATAAGCCCACACCCATCTACTCCCACACTATATATTTTGCTTCGGGTTGCCTAGCTAATTTTCCTAGAGGGCAGGAGATGATAGTATGTGAGAAGCAAAGACATTACTCTGACTGAAATGTTAAGCCTCACCAAGTCTTTTTAGCCCAATTCTGCTTCTGTTAAGCATCAAGGGCAAGAGTCCTGTTGATATCAGGAGGACAGACTCTGGCCCTATGTTAATACGGAACAAGTGAACCCAAGGTTTTGTATATAAGTCCAAAGTAGGAGATGTTGTTTCCTCCCCTTCGTTCCATGAAAAATTCAAAACAACCCACCCTCCCACCTCTTTCTGAGTGTACATCACTGATTTCATTCGCTGTTAGTGAAAAAGAAATGTTTGTCCCAGCACAGAAAGGTGATCCCACTCACATTTACAAACTTACATGCAACTTTGGCTCAGTTTGGAACTGAACACAAGACAAGGCATTAAGTGGGGCTGTTAAGTGACCCAAACCTACACAAAGTGGGTTATTTTCTTCCCCTGATCACTGCTCAAAACAGAGCCAGTTCTAAAGGCCAAATTTACATGAACTTCCTCCTGCAGGCAACGAGCAAGGGATTCATAGGTACAAATGCAAAGAGTTTGGCAGAGGACGTGTCACAAGCAAGACTCCTTAATGTTATACTCCAAGATTTACTAAATAAGGATAAAAATTGCTGAGTTTTAATTTCAATTTTTGTTTCCTTTTGGAACCCAGGGAAGAACCCCACCCCCCAAAATATAAAACCTTGGGGCCGGATCTATAGCTGGGTAAATCAGCATCGCTTCATTAACTTCAAAGGAGCTATGCAAATTACCCCAGCTACAGATCTGGAATTTTAAGTTTAACTAGAAAAGGATGAATGGGAAGAGAATTTTTAGTTTACCCTGTCAAGAGAAGAGAATGATGGAAGAGATATGATAACAAAGACATTAACAAGGGATCCATGAGGCAAACTGTCAATCTAGTCCCCAAGATGCAAGTTGCCCTTTAAAACAGATACATGGGTTTTGTCTTCAGCAGCACCACAAAATAACTAGTAGCAACTAGTTATTCTCTTTCTGACTTGACTGTTTGAACTAACAGGGGTCACATACCATATAGGCAAATAACTCTTTTTGGGTTAAGCTTTAACTAAGAAAATGGGTACGTCTGTTTGCTTTTATGCAATATGATGACGTATAAGTGCATCATCATAAAGCCAATGCCATGCACATGCGTGCACACACATATAAATCATGACGTGAACTAGATTTTAGCAGACAGGATAAAGCATTAGCAGCTTTGCCAGGAGAAGCCATGCATAATTGTGGCTCGCTACATACCTAACCTGAAAATTCCAAAGATCTAGTTTTATTAACCCCCAAATCCCACAAGATGAATGATTTCCCCATTAGCAGGACAACAAGAGAACTGTTTACAAATTAAACATGTCAAATATAGCAGTTGATATATAATCAGAGATGTGTATACTTGAGGATTGCTGAGATGGGTGCACAGCGTGCTTTCAGAAATAAACGTTGTGTGGGTTTGGGTTTATTTTAAAGAAAAATGTTACTGCAGTAGTGACTGAGAACTTGGGTAATATTAAGGCAATTGTTTAGATCGTCTAAAAAAAAAAAAAAAAAAAAAAAATT